TATGTGGATTTTATGGGACCATATCCTCGTACAAAGGATGGAAATGTTTTTTTGTTTGTGTGTCTTGACCACTTCACTAAATATGTGCTCCTTAAGCCCATGCAGCGAGCGACAGCTGCTAAAGTAGTTTAGTTCCTCGAAAGGGAAGTGTTCCACATGTTTGGAGTGCCGGAGTTTGTGCACTCAGACAATGGCAAACAGTTTGTGTCAGAAATATTTACCATGTTCCTTGAAAAGTACGGAACAAAGCAGATTAGAACTGCATTTTATTCCCCACAAGCAAACGCCGCCGAACGCGTTAACAGGTCAGTGCGCAGATGATTAGGGCGTACATTGGTGACAATCAGAAGAACTGGGACCAACACGTGAGCGATGCAGCTTTCGCAATGAGGACCGCTGTGCACACACCTATATCTACGTCCCCGTACCAGGCAGCATTTGGGATGCCCATGGTACAACATGGTGCCTCGTATGATATTTTGCGTCGAATAGGATCTATTAAAGACACAGATTGTGAAGTATGCGTAGGGCCAGAAAGGCACCAGCTAGTGAGGAACCAAATATTTGACGAGCTTAAACGAGCATATAAAGTAGGTGAAAAGGTTTACAACACTCGGACGAAGGAAGTTAAGTTTAAAATAGGACAAGTGGTATACCGCCGAAACTTTAGGCAGAGCTCATAAGCTGATTACAACGCAAAACTGGCTCCAAAACACGTACAACGTGTCGTTTTGCGTACGATCGGCAATTCAATGTATGAATTGGGAGATACTAGTGGGAAAAGAGTAGGGGTATACCACGCTAAAGACATTTTTGTTGCATAGGTATTCGAAGTAACGCATATTTTAGTTGTGAGTGTCCAAACCTTTTCTTGACGACTGCTAATTTCCTACGAACTTGACCAGATTTTACTTATTGATTGTTATATGTACGTATACACCATTGTTGTTGTCTTTATTTTCACTTGTACACCATTTTACATGTTTTGTATTCGACTTCTGCATGTGTTAGCTACCAGTGATATGTTAAGTGTCTGTTAACCGTCTGTACCAGTGATAGCGGTGATAAGTCAAGAAGTAGAAAAAAAGAGTAGATCAAAAGGAGGATTGATAAGCCCGGTCTTGGGTCATGGGTCGAGACCACACGTCGCGGAAGATATGGAGGTCAGGCTGCGTTATGAATTTTCTTACGCACACGCTCCATGGTGCAGGCACCATCGGCGGGTACGAGCCTGTAACGAGCAGCCTTTAGTCAGAAGCGTTTGTGGGTATTTGTTGATAGGAAGATACAATCAAACCTATGCCAACTAGCTGGCATTTTAGCTTAAATACATAATACTTGTCCCATACAACTGAGAATCTACGTCTAACGCATATATGCATCCTGTACGCCACGTGAGAATGTATATGTGCCTTCGCTCGATGATAATGGGGCTTTTATAGGTTCGATTCAAGCGATACGACCAGATGTTTGAGCGATCTGAAAGGGATTTTTCTCTTGACTGATTGTTTTGGGCTCCATGATCATAGGAATTGCAGAAAAAGAAATAAACCTAATATCTAAGCCGAAGTGAATAGTCGTGAGTGCGGAGTTATGCTTTCCCAGAGTATAACTTTGTGAACAGTTTCAAAGAAACAGTAACAGTATTCAAAGTTAAAAAAAAAACAAAGGAAAAACACAGTGAAAGTTACCGCCAGGACACGGGACCAGCTAGATCCCGCTACAAGCCGCTGCCCAGAATTCGCGCCTAAGGTGAGCGTCTCTGCGTTAAGATGTATGCACTATTGCCCCAAATGTTACAAGTTACAAATAAAAATAATTAAAATTTTGTAATATAATCGAATAAAAGCGACAGTAAGCAAAATGAAATTGAGTTAAAACTATTGTTTTAAACGAAAGTAGAAGGAATTTGATTGAACGCAATATGAATCTAAATTAAAGTACCTAATATGAGGCTACATAAGGCTACTGTAATGAAATCTAACTAAAGTAAAGCTGACTAAAACTGAAATCCGGACAAAATAAAAATAAAGGTAAAAGTTAATAAAAACTTAAATAAGTACGGATACCAAGGGGCATTTGAAGCAGAGCCACGTATAACGCTAAGAAGCTAAACTCCAAATCCCTTCTAGGTCTTTGCCGGTGGGAGGCCCAATATAAGGACCTTAAGCGCCAAACTAGGAGCCACACATAGTTGCAGCCAGTCAACGCACAAAACTACAAGGCGATATACATAGTTCAAACAACAGACACACAATCCGGCTCCATTAACTAATGTACATATGTATGGATGGATGTATATACATACCTGAATACGAAGAGACTGGAAATCGCAAGCGGTTTAAATAATATATCAAGAGGGAAACATAGAATCGGGGACGAGAGCTGAGTTCGACGAGAGCGAATCCAACCAACTCGCCCACCTCGTTTTGCCAAATTTCTCGTCGCTCTTCCCCACGCCACACACATACGCTAGATGGTGGAGAAGGAACATTCACGTCAGCAAATTCAACAGCTCCCTCGATTTTCAGTACTCGTTTCGTCGATCTAATTTCACCACACTTTTTGATCACTATCTTGATTTGTTGCTCCTAGTTTGTTTTTTTCTTTCGCTCATATTTTTGCTTAATTTTTTATACACCTTCGCTTTTAGGCGGCCTTTTGCATTTTTTTTCGCGCGCTGTTGGCTCTTCGGATGTTTCAAGGCTTTTCGCACGTAATTCATTTATTTTATTTTATTTTATCTACATTTGGTCTCTGCGAACATAATCTTTGGTTTGATTAACTTGTATTGTATTTACGAATTTACACATTTGAATTTACGAATTTACACACGTTATCTATTTTCTGGCAAATTTCTAAGCCAGATTCATTCTTTAACTTAGTTGGTAAGATCATTATTTTTTTGTCGTTGCACCGAAGCTTGCACATACCTATATATTTTCCTGGAATAAGTTTTTAAGTATCTTTTGAATATTTACCGTGAACTCGTCGCGTGGAATTTAGCCGTAGAAGTTAAGAAAACAAAACAAGAGAGCAATCTAGCATAACATTGTAATTTCCATTAAACTCATTTTGTTTACTTAAATTTACGTAACCTTAAGTAACGCCTACGCATCGATTGCACACCGCTCTATGGTTCTTTTACTATGCACGGGCTTTAAACGCGCCTATTATTCACTCTTCTCGCCCGTTTTTTTTTATTTTATTTTTTTTTATTCACCGGCAGTTTTAAATAATTTCTTTAATAATCAAATTAACTCAAAAGTAATTTTTGCTCGTCGCGTCGGTCCCACCGCGTGGTACTGATCGGTACTCGTTGTAGACGTGAACGAATTTAAGGTCACAGGAAGGCTGGATGAATAACATGTTTCCATTCAGCTTCCATATATGTATGTATGTATGTTAGTAGTATTC